TTTCCCTCACACATTGGTCAGAAGAGTCTAGTGTTAAATATCTATCAGACAGCAAAGAAAAGTGTCCTTATGAAAAATGTCTTTCCAGCTACAAATTGGGAGTGACTGTCTGGCTGAAGTGGAGGGATTTTAAGTGTAGCAGAGTCTAAAATAGCCGGAGATTGATTGGCGCTCAGAGGAAGCCTTTGCAGTAATGAGGACACTGTAACAGCCTGTTGTTGTGAAGACAGAGCTAAGCTGAAAGGTGCAGTGGTTGATTTACTGCTTATCTATTGAATCCTTTAGAAAAAAAAAAGTGCAAATACCACAAATAGACTTAAATTCTGTGGGAATTACAGCAAAAGCTTTGCAGCTTCACAACCTTGGAAGACCCCTTAATTCCACCTGCCAGGAGCACTGGCCCACCATAGATTAATCATTCTCCTCCCAGTGGGGGTCATAGAAAGGGAGGTATAAGTTAAACCTTTCATTTTCTTTGTGTTGTCTTATGTGTGTTTTTCTTTACCGTCTCTGGAGTGACATGCATGTTGCTGCCATGGTAACAGTGGTAGATAGGATTTGGTCGACCCATGCTGCACTGCTGATTTTTAGTTTGCAGCTCGCAGGGAAACACATAGTCTTAACGCATGTTCTCTGATTTGTGGCTTTCAGTTCTATAGAAACATATCATTGTATAGATGACTGGTTGTGCAACATGTTGAAAAAAATGAGGACATTTCATTTTATGTAAAGATTAATATTAGTTTAATCCCCAGTTTAGAGTACAGCTTTGTCACTTTAATCTAGCTGTACAGTGTCGGAGTATGTTTAAGGCATTTTTAATTGTGTCTGGCACGCCGGGAAATTAAACTGCGATACAGCCGCAAACAACTGTAAGGAGAGAATACTTCAGGACAATTAATTTATCACACAAGAGACTTTACAGCTTTTTAGATTACAGCTGTAAATTGACATTAAAGTGCATTTTGCGTGAAGCTGGCGTGAAAAGGTCAACGAGGTGAAGGGATCCCCCGTATAACACACAAGTCACTGCTTCATAGGTTCTCATTTTGTTGCTTATGAGAATACCTGCTAGGCACATGCAAAGTGCAGCTGCTAATGAAAAATCATAGCCTTAAGTCAGGCTGAATTTGGAATAAATGCAAAGTTTCCAATTGTCTCTGCTGGATAATGGGATCTGCCAGCAGTTGGAGCTTATTACTTTTTATTGTCTTTGTTGCACAGCCACAGGACAAGATGATACTCTGATGTCATCTATTTCCATTGTGCACTATATGTGCTTGTAAAAAATGCTGAGGTTTTTGTAAAATAACCTGATGTTAAAATGTAATCTTAAATTTCTATGACACTTTTTGTATTAATATCTTTTTGTTTTGATAAGCCCTTTATATTGTGGATCCCGTTTGTCAGACGGCACAGATAAACGCTCCTGTTGGTGCTGGAAAAACCCTGAGGCACAGTGTGACCGTGTGAAGGTCTGCGTTTCAGTCTCCAGGTGGCAGTGTGGCTCCACTCCTTCACAAGCCTCCATTGAAACGGACTTCGTCTTATACTCGGTTTTTCTTTATTTTTATCTCCCCCTTTTGTCCCACGCTTCTGCTCATTCCTCTTGTCTCTCATTAAGTGTTGTTGCCTCTCACTAAATCTGTCTCTCTTTCTCCTTTTCTTCTTTCATTTCTCAGTTAGTTCCAAGCATCCATGAGGTTCGGCGAGGAAAGAATAGATGGGGTGTTTCATCCACCCAGAGTGTATAGCCTGTGGTCTCTGGAGAGTTACGCAAACTAGTGGAAATAATTATTGCAAAAAGAATATCCAATCCATTTTTTTGTTTGTTTTTTAATACAAATGAACAGGTTAGAGTGTAGCTTACTTCCTCCCACTCATCTTCACAAATACATTTAGCTTCTTAATCCAACATCTGACATTTGGACTAATGTTTTACGCCTTTCAGTGCCTACCTTCTGTAAAATAAGCATAAACACATTCACAATGGCAATACCTTCTTCCTCTAGAACACAGAAGGCTAAAGGGTTAGATGATTTTTACAGTAATAAGTTTGATAAAAATGCATCGTAGAGATGGTGGCAGATTTAAACTGAAAATACAAATGTATGCCAATACATTTTAATATTATTTAAAGGTTGATTTGGTCCAGTAATTCACTTCTTATCATAAAACTTATATAAAGAGCGATATATTTGAAGCATTTTTTTAAATTTTAATTAATAGGAACTGTATTATGGGTTCAGTTTTATTAGTTCTATCTTATGGCCCAAGTGCTCATTGGGATGACTGCTCACTGCACTGTTGTCCAGCAGACATCTGTTGACACCCCCTAAAAGGTGAGGAAGTTATAAGTACTTGTTGCTGAAGAAATTGGTGGTTCATACAGTGCAGATTCCAGGCATGCTAATGGAGGGATGAGTGAATAGAAAAGGTTTAGTAGGAAAAAAGAAGCAAGAACAAAAACTCTAGAGTCTCTTGGAAGAAGTGAGAGGCACAGAATCTAAATGGATGGAGTTCAATGGTTTTGTTTCTAGTCAGCAAAGCCTCTGCCGTCAGTAGTCAGTGATGTTTTGAAGTGCCATGTCCTCTTATGGCGTGGACAGGATTGTGTGCTGCCACATTTAAACTGATATGGCATGGATGCCCTGGGAATTGATGTCGGTACTTCAGTACCCTGCTCACATCATCTAAAACACTAGGCTTGCTTGCTTGGAGCAGAAGAGGATTTTAATCCATCGTCATTGCCATCGCCATCACCTAATGTTGCAAACATTTGTTCATCAGTGTTGCTGGCTGCAGTTGATGAGTCGCTAACGGATGCAGGCTTCCTAACGGTGCCTAACGCAGAAGTGATAGCCGTAGATCTGGAGGTGTCAAATAGTGCAGTCTTCAGGCTTTTGTCTAACTGGATGCTTTCTCACATCAGAAGTACTCCCAAGCATGGTATCATCTGATTTTGCATAAATAGGTACGCTGTAGTAATGAAGGACATTCTTTTGTGAGATCGAAGAAATCCCCAAGCCACTACATATTACAGGGTTCCCGCGGGTCCTTAAAAAGTCTTAAAAAGTCTTGAATTTAACTTGCCGTATGCTGTAGGAACCCTGTATTAACAAAGGGAACCATGAAAGGCTTTCAATTTGCCAACATCACCAAAAGATCCTAACCTGACTCCGCCAGATGGATTTGCTCCGCATATCCATCTGGAAACCTTCCGTTGAATTAATTTTGAGAAGGGGCGAAAATACTGGTTAGCTGATTGGCCTATGTTGGTGATAGACGAGCCAAATAAACCAATCAGATCAACGAAGCATATGACGTACTAACCGACCGACCAACGCTGATTGGACGTTCGTTTGGTGAACAGCTCCAAATTTTCTTCAACGGAGAGTCTCCAGACTGATTAGCGAGTGAAATCTTGAAAGCTCGCGAGATCAGGATGGTCTCATGAGGCTAAAAAGAACCAGAACCATGAACAAAGGTTCTACTGACCTTAACTACAAATTTATTCTATGGATGAGCCTAAAGCCTCTTAAAGCAACTTGGGGCTTCCATCTCATTTCAGCAGGTCCACAGTCTCCATGTCTTCTGCACCTATGGTGTAATTCATGCAGATACCTGAGCAATTTATTGAAAGTACACACAGAGCAGTGCTTCCATATTTTTTACCAGCCTGATCTTTCTCTACTTCAGATTTCTTTTTCCTACTTTTGAAGTGTTAAGATATTTTAGGTAGTAAAAATCAGAGATTTCATCAGTTCTAATCTTTAATCATTCAAATACTTGAAGTTAATCACTAAACAGCCCCCTCCGTGTTATTCACACTGGCCCTGTCACCTGATGATGAACTGAGCGGTGCCCACACAGAATGTGAGGCTATTGTTGAACCGTCTCTTTGAACTGTAAGGGGTAATGTTTGATGTGGAACAGGTGTGACATAAGGGTTTGATGCAAAGCAAAGACATTCTCAGCAGAATCCCATTGTCTGGACGCACACTGAGCAAAGACGCCGTCTGTCCACATGAGAAATGTGCTGAAAGGTGCAATCTGATTCATGCCTTCATACGGTGAAGTCACAATGGGATGGTTGGATCAGAAATATGACCAGAAGGGTACTTATATCTGTTGAATGTACACGTTATTTTTAAAACAAATTACTAAGAAAATGATCATATACCTTATAAGATATCTAGATGCACTCCTAAAACTTTGTAAAACAGGAATTGCATCTATAAATATAAAAAAAATGGGTGGCCTTCACAATGAGCGAGCAAGAAAAAAAAAGAAAACCTGGGTAATTTCTTTTGTGAAACTGCTCAGAGACGATGCATGATGACGAAAATCCAACACTCAAAGCAGTCGTCTCTTCCTCTTTCTTCCCTAAACAGAATATTCCTTTAATCCCTTTTATCACCACCTGCCTTTTTTGTCTTTCTCTCATTAAGACATGTTTTTATACGCATCCAGACAGATTTATTTATTACTCGTTTTTCTCAGACTGATGCTGCTGTGTTGATATTAATTCTTCAAGAAGTTTCACTGTCGTGTCCTCATGCAATTTGCACAAATGTCATCAGCAAAGGGATTTTTCTTTCCAGATATATTTTTTATCAAACAACTAAAGAAGCAGCTTTTTAGAAATGAAGAGTAACTAGCAAGCAATATGCAATGTGGATAAGATTTTAAATATTCCACCAAAATCATTATCCTTCATATATATATTTTTTATTACTTAATTTAGTTCGATATTGCAATACTCAATGCTTGTTATTGTATAGGTTTTTGCCTCATATTGAAAACCAAGCATATTTAATGATGAAGAATGCGCATATCATTTAACCCAAAAACTAAATAATACACCTTAAAAGATGTTAACTGGAACCATTTGTAACTAGAACAATTTATACTGCAGAAAAAGATGAATTGAAAGTTACTGAGAGGTCTTTCTTTACAGTAACAGACATACTGAGCAGTTCTTTGTCCTCTCTTTGCAGGTACACTGTTCCTCCTGAGCATGGCAAGAGACTGGAAAGGCTTGCACAAGGTAAGCAACAAGAACATCTTTAAATTTCCACATTTAGATGTGACATAGGCTCGGTAAGAATATCCTCATGTTTTTATGTGCACATAGAAAGAGAAAATGTTTTCAGCTGTTGCTGATTTTTTTTTTTTTTATTATCACTCTTATGGCATTATCTTGATGCTAACAGGAGCTGAGTTAATTGGTCCATGTTTGTTTGCTTTCTCATTGGTCTTTTACTGAAGTTCCATTTTTGTTTTGTGCCAATATTTCTATGTAATCCCAGTAACCTGTTTCTCTCAATGCCTCATTACTTGTTGATCATTTCTCACATTCAGCCACTCGGTCTCCTGCCCTGTGTACATGTAGCTCTGAGTGGTCTTGTTCTTTTTGCAGCTCCTTTGGTCTTTGTTGTGGTTTTTATCTGACCAAACCTTTATTCTAATGGGGTTCTTTTCTAGGTCTTGCTCACTTTGTGTTTGTTTGTAAATGTTCTACTATCATAGTAATCTGTTTCCCTGATGCCTTTATATGGGTCTTTAATTTAAAATAAAAAGCTTCCAGCAACTCTGCTGGAATCAAGCATTGACCTAACAGGTCAGAAAATGAACCTGAGAGGGTTTCTTCTTTTGGTCTTTCTTCGCATTTTAATTAAAGTTTAAAAGAACTATAATATCCCAGGGAGTATTTTCAAAAATAGGTCATGTAGGAGATTTTATTATGCTCAAAGTGTTCTGTTTCATCTTTCAGGGAGGTCAAGCACTGACCTTTTTTGGGTACCTGACCTCTTTTCAGAATCCTTCACACCTTTAGAAGCCCCTCCCCGTCAGTCCTAATCTAGCTCTATGCATCAGTCCAAGCCTAGATCCACGCCCAAAATAAGACTGAAGCTCCTTGAAAGGTTTCCAGTATCAAGCATGATTGATGTTTCCTGTTTGAGCCTGCCCTTATCTCAGGTCCATGCTTCCGTCTAGGTCCATGGACCAGCCAAGTGCTTCTCTTCTCCACTATGGCTCATATGTACACTAAGTTATGTTAGTGACCTTTGAAGAGATCAATGCTCAATCTCCGACTACTTAGAGGTCTCTACTCTACCTTCCATTCAGCAGCAGTTCCTCCATGTCTGAGAAGCAGCTGTGTAATAAGTGAATACAGTCATACACTCTGGGGCTCTGCCCTATTAAAACCTTTGACATGTATCCTGTGGGTGGATGTGTCAATGTCGCTTTACTGACAGCAGAAGAGCAGCTTAGAAACATCATTGTGTTCAGTGTCTGTGCTAAACTGATGAAGAGGTTGTAGGAATTTGGAGGGCAAATTAATCTGAACTTGATAGAGGAAATAAAAACAACAACAAATGTAGACTTAAGCAAGAAAATAGATACTGGCAGCTGGTTGTTTGTTTGTTGGTTGTTTTTTTCAGTTTAAGTTTTTTTTTTCCCCCCCGAAAGTTTTATTTAAGGTGTTTTTGGGAAAGATTACTAATTTTAAACCAATTACTGACTTGTTTAATAATAATATTACAAATGGGTTTCTGCTCTGAAAATACTTTTTTGTTGTTGTTCAATTCAGTTTATTTATATACGCCACTTTAGAACACATGTCATCTCAAGGCACTTTACAGTTCACCAGATCATGCAGTAAAATTTATTAAAAGTTTCCTATATACGGAAAACCAGTCGATTGCATCGACTTATTGACTGGAAGGCAATCCCTCACACTAAGCATGCTTGTTGTTTGCAGTCAAACTCTTTGTCAAAGCTTTCCTGATTAAAAGTTCTTAATCCTGCCAAGACATGGAACTAAAATAGGAACAAAATGCAAAATCTCATCATTTCAAAGTGATAAAATACATACACAATCATTTTTAACAAGGTAGTTTTGAAGTTATAAAATATATTTGACAAGTATTGCTTTACTCAGAAGCATTGAGTCTTATAAAAGGTTTTCTGTCTCAATAGAAATGACTGTTTACGTTTGTTAATAAGATCTTATTAGTAAGATCAGTTGTGATTTTTAAATAACTTTCAGTTTATTGCAGCGAACCTAAACTCCTTTCATGAAACAGCCCCATCATAAACCTGCAGGCACGATCCCCTCTCTGAGCTGACTCTGGTCGATGGCGAATCACAAATAAAGCCGGCGCCATCAGCACACAGCTTTAAAATCAATGTACTGTGTTAAATATAATATGTGTGGGACAAATACCCTTTCTAAAGGCGTGCCTGTGGTGTTTGATGCTTACTTATGTCACCCCTAATAGATAAACTACTTTAGGCTGGTTTCCAGGGATGTACTCTACCTCTGAGATCTGTCTAACGTGTATTCCTTACAAAGACACACCGCATAGAGGTCTTCGGTCTTTTTTCACCTAAAATCTTTTAATCGAAGCAGCAAAAGCCAGTCTGTCCTTAAGGAAGTCAGCCGCTGTAGGGCTGGGATTGCCTTGCTTTGTGAATTGAAGGCATAAAGTGAATCACTTCAACTGCTTCTCACTAGAGACTAATAGTGGAAATGCATAAACTAGTGTTTCTGTCTTCCTTTTTACACATTTATGCTTGAGTAAGATTTGTCAATTCAGTATAACCTCTGCTAGATTGCCATTGGCCAGTCCAGTTGCTGGTTTTTTGTGGCCTCTGGCATCACCTGCATATAGGTTTTATTGAGCTCGTCTTCTCAGTGAAACGATAATCTGAATGATATTCCTCTTTGTGCCATATTCAGTGTCAGAGTAAGAAGCATTATCTGAGGTGGATAAATGAGACACAGTGAAGTGAACCCATTCTGTCTTCTTTCTGTGACACATGATGTCTGCTTTCATCCCCTACTTTCTTTTTAAGATCCTATGTGCCCGTCTTTCTCTTATTTTCCATTTTGATCAATGGGGATTAACTTTAGGATTGCATGTTCCTCAGAGAAAGCGAGAGAGAGGGATCTGGGATGTGCTCTAGAGAAACTTGATGGAAACGTAGCATATAAAGTCTGTTATGACTGGTTAAAAACAGACCAGTGATCAATGCCATCCTTAAAGGACTGGCTAGAAAATGTCCCCACCGTACTTGGTCAAAAAGAAGTAGTTTATTTTAATTCAGAAGCTCTCACTGTGTTTATTCTTAATGGATTTACTAAAATAAAATGACACCAGGTAAATCACATTATATACATTGAGTCTTACTTCTGTTTTAATTAGCTGCCGGGTCGTACCTCAGCAGCTGGTGGTTAGGATAAGAGCAGCTGTTAAATGGCCAACATCTGACCAATTAAAGGCCTTCTTAGCACACATGGCCATGATGTTTATGAAGTCCCAAACTGATGGTTATGAGTGTAGCAGAAATACTCAGAAGGACTGAGACGGTGGCCTTTTTTTTTTTTTTTTTTTAAACCAACCTGTCTATCTCAGGTGAAGTTATGGCTGCAGGTAAACTGGTTTTTTTTTTTTTTTTTTTAGCCTTTTAGGCATTTGATGCGAGTTTACCAGTAATTTAATTTGCATGTCTTTGATTGTTTTTCCTATAATGTTGGACTTTGCATGTAAGCTGGGCGGGTTGGGAGCATGCAGACAAAGAAAAAGAGCAGCCTAACTCTGAAACTCCAAAGGACATAATGAAACCTTTAGGTTAATATTACCCTGTGGAGAGCTCAGGGAGCCAGCTGCATTTTAATGGGGATTAATACCCAGGCTCTGTCAGCACATTATTCACCTTTTATCAGCTCCAACAAGCATGAGGGCAGCCAGAGTGCGGATTCCCTCTCTCTCACTTTTTCTCAGTAGTGAAGAATAGAGACTGAAACAATGTGGTGAAAATGAAGGATGAAATGGTTGCCGATTATACTGTCAGTCACTTTAAAGTCAAACTGGTGGGAGGCTTCGATGAAACCCCTCCTCTGAAGTAAAGGCAAGTACAAACTATAAAGAATGGGAACGTTGTCAACAGGGGAAAAAGTCCTTTCTTTCGATTATGCACAGGCCATCTGAGGCGGTCTAAGAGCATAAATGAGCCTTGGGTTTAGAGAGAGAGTGCTAGTTTTAAACCTCTAAAATGTCAGTCGGATTATGATCTCAAGGCAGAATGTGCCAGAAAATAGATTTGTTTTCTAAAGAAACATTCAACTCGAGAGACGGATAAACAAATTTCTGTTTGCTTATTAAAATATCAGGGAGCTTTTATCGTGCATTTGCACAATACATGGTTTAAAAAGGTCTTGGAAAATACTACCGCTGTAAGGTTTTTCTGTTAGCACCTTTGGGACACAGGATGAGCCATTTTAGGACAACAGTTTAAAATCTTGTATTATTCAGGATTAATTGTTTTGCTGAAAACACATGAGAATGGGGTTAAAGCATATTTGTCTTTAATGTGCTCCGGGGTTGCTTGTAAAAGGAATTAGCCTGCGTTAATTAAGCAGCACAGATCCTACGGCGGAGATTTAATTCTTTGGCTGCTCTGAGAGGCATCACAGTTTTAGCTCCTACTTTCAGTGTAGATTTTCAGTCCATCAGATTTCTTAACTCCTACCAGAACCCTCACAATCAATATCTTTTCAAGCTCCATGGTGACGTGATTATATCACAACATGTCAGAGGGGTAAACTGGATTGACCTCTCCAGGTTTTGGGATTTTAACAGTAATGTGATTAAATGCTGCTGTTTTTTTAGATGAAGACAGCTCCTTAATTGGGAGATTCAATATGCATTTCAGTTACCTCGAGCAGTAGTTCCCAAAGTTTTTCCCCTATTGTAACCAAAGGGGGGAAATGACCCAGCTCCACTGGATTGTCTGATGTTTATGAAATACAAAAAATAGTGACCTGAGAGGGATTTAATTAGATATCAATCAAATAATCCAGCATCTTCCCGCACCCCCGCCATGCTTCTGTGTTTTCCTCTGAGAGTAAGGAGAAGAAAAAGAAGAATCCTTGTTTGCCCACTGAGCGATTTGCCTACGACAGTCGACTGAAAATCAAACATGTTTGATTTTCTCCTGACCTCACAATTCCTGATCGGGAGGTGGTCATGAGAGGCTGATCGCCCCTCGTTACTCCCTGTACACCACGTAAGATGCACGATCAGGTTGAAAGTCACTCTGATCCGAAAATTGTCACACGACTTGAAAGTCGCCCCGAAAAGGGCAAAAAATAAATCGCACAGTGTATGCCCGGCTTTACATGTTAAGATATATATGTATTTTGTTCAAATAGACCTTAGGCTGTAGGAATATGCTCACTTTTAGTTGCCATGGCGAAGCCCCTGGTGTAATGTTTGAGCACGCCTTTTGGCTGAAACCTCAGATCACTTTTAAAGTGGTTGGTTTCCTAGCAGGGGCACAACTGTGATTGTAGTCTGTACCTTGTTTGAACAGGACTGATTTTGGCATCTTTTCTTAAAAATAAATAAATAAACCATCGATATAATCAAAATTTGGTGGTAAACCCAATTTACCACCCAGATAAAAGAAGTTGTTTAAAATATGAAAAAAACCTCTAAGCTCAAAAAACTGGAAGACTACAGAAACAAACACTTGTCCGCCTGAAGTGAATCATCTGGGTTGCATGTTAACAGACAGATTTATGGCGGCCTCTTCCTTCCTTCTAATGCCCCGTGCTTTCTTTCACTGGTTTCAGGATTCTTCCCTGGGAGCTCCCAAGGCTGCGATGCTTTCCTCCGTCACAAGATGACACTGATATCGCCGTCCATCTTGAAGAAATACGGCATTCCCTTTAACAGGGTGAGTGACGCATACAGTGCACGACATTAGGTGACATTATATTGATCAGCATGATCAATTTATCATCTAGAAGCATTTGTAGCTTAATTCAGCCACTACTCTATCAGTTTCATCAAAAGAGAGGCGCTTTAAGATCTATTGATTTGCATCCTCTATTGATTGGCACTTATTCATCTTCAGCCAAGCAGAAGTGGTCGGCTTAAGAGAATTAAAGAGTTCTGAAATTTCAAAATTAAAAGTCATTGGAGTCATTTTTACTTGTCTGCTGCTCTGTTCTTGGGTCATCCATAAATTATAGAAGTGGTTGGGTATGATACAAATGACTCAGCATTGATGCAGCCATGAGTAAAGATCGTCATCCGTTCCTGTCACAGAAAATGAATTGCCATCTTTTCACCTTTCTGTTGCAGCACAAACCTCCACAGCACAAAATAATGAATAAAAATTTGAAGAGGGGTATAAGGAACAGGGCAGGCATCCAAAGTTCTCCACAGCCAGCATAAGACCCCCTTCACCTAACTTCTTCCAGCACCCCCCCCTCAGGACGTCATTATCACAGTGAACATGTTGCGTGCAGCACACCTACCAGTAACCTCCTCGATTCATGTGTAAAAATAAAACTCTTCTGTTCTTGCCAGAGCAAAGAGGGATTTGTTGGTTTGATATCTTAACCATTACTGTTAGCTGAAGAAGTTAAATTCTCGGTTTTATGCCTCCCTACCCATTTCTCCCCTTATGCCTGTATTTCCGTCTGGCTTGATATTTCTCTTGATGGTAGGCAGCCAGGTTTCTCAAAGACATGATTCACAGTTGGCACATGTAGGGCTTAAGTTTCAAGGCAATATGCAAAACGAGAATCAAATTAATGAGTTCTCATATTCTTAAACAAGAATAACACGAAGCTCGTAGGAAGACGCTAAACTCTGAAACCTGCAGAAAAGTTGCTTTTCAGGAGCCTAACTCTCTAATAGTCTAAAAGTTTTACTGCAGTTGAGGGAAGTGGACGAGCAGAATTGACTGTTTTACACTTTTTGCTTATTAAAAAATCTTAAATCCACGTCTTAAGATATTATTCATTGAATTAATTGCAACCGTAAAAGTTCAAAAAATATCCACTGGACTTAGTTTCCAAGATTTGAAGACGTTTCGCCACCTCTCCAGGAAGCTTTCTCAATTCAAATGTCTGGATCCGCAGTGAGTTTGAGTCTATATATAGACAAAGCCTTGTATCGCTTGGAAACATGCAAATGGTAACTGATGAATGGGTCGTTTGGTTCAGAGGTGGCGAAACGTCTTCAAATCTTGGAAACCATGTCCAGTGGATAGTTTTTGAACTTTTATGGAATGACTATGACCTGGATGACTGAGAATCTTCATCAGCAATTTAATTGCAACTCATCCAAAACAATTTTTTTTATATATATCTGCGCAAATATATGCTCTATCTGAGAATGGGGATTAATTGCTTAATTTTCTGTTTGGTTTAAAAGTAAGGGGGAACCTGGACTTTTTTAAATTCAATATCCCATGAGTTTGAATAAGTAGTTTACACAGTTGAGTTTGTTAAAGGAAGCTAAGAACAAAGCTATAATCAAGAAGTCCAGCTGGAAAAGAAGGATCAGTGTATATTTGCAAATAGGTCATTAACTTTGTCCATCGTGTATAACTATATTTCTCTATTTTTGCTTTGTGTCTGAATAGATAACCCAGAATGAAGGAGAGTTTATGATAACATTTCCGTACGGCTACCATGCTGGCTTCAACCATGGCTTCAATTGTGCAGAATCTACAAACTTCGCCACTCTGCGTTGGGTGGATTATGGGAAGAACGCAACCCTGGTAAGATGAGACGGAGTCTTGTAGTTGTGTTTTTTGGTCCTAAAGTCTTTTTTTAATTGTCTAAAGCTCAGTAATAAAATGATACAGATTATGTATTGATGAGGAAAACTATTTTTCCAAAATGGCTTGAGAACTCTTGAATAGGGCTCCTTCACATTTTCCTTCAATTTGATTTCATTTTGTAAAAATCATGAGAAAAGTAAAAAAATGTGTTTACGCTGGTCTATCTGATTTACGGTTAAGCCATTCCTTTTTTTTTATTCTTTCTGAATTGTGCTTTTTCCCACTTCCTTGCAACCTTTCCTTCTTCTTTTCTCATTTCTCTCAGTTTCTGCGTTTTTTCTATGATATTTAAAGCCTTCCTGTGGTAAACATTGCGTTAAAGCATCAAGGAGTAAGTGGCAGCCCCTGCAATTTAATAATCCTAACAGCTGACTGGCTTGACTGAAAAACCAGTATGAGTATTTTTCTAACTTTTAACGTCATTCATTTACCTGACATTATTGTTGACTTGTTAGAAACTGTTGACACCTTCATCATAACATGTGTAATCAGATGAAGACTTAAAATAAAAGTGATTATGCTGTGATTCAGCAGCAGCTTTCCTTCTTAAAGGTTGAAGTCATAGATTTTATCGATGTACATCTATATAAAGAAGGGTCTAGTTCACTCCTGCACACCATCTGTTCTTGACACCAACTGTACACTTGAATCCTTATGCTGACGCAAAACTGCCTGCTTGCCTGCGGGCTGTTGAGCATGAAATTGACAGGGCATGGATAGGTTTGTGAAAGGGAGTCCGACTACAATGTCGTCTGAAATAAAGTCCCTCTACGCTCATCTCTTCTCTATACATTCTACTTCATTTTGCTGTTCGCTCCTCCCTCCTGCTCTCTTTAGATGTGTTTTTTTGCTCTCACTGTCTTTCTCTCTACTTGGCTGCATGTCAGATTTATGAGGTGCCAGTTTGCAGAAGTACATCTCCCTCCCATCCTACTCCTTCCCATTTCCAGCTTTCCTACTTTACCCATGCGACTACTTGTAATTTAAGAAGCACTAGTCCAGGCTTCGGTGCTCAGGGGAGCATCTCCAGCTCACTTTCTTAGTTTGATCAAGAAAGAGGGGTCATTTCTGCTCTGCTAAACTAGGCCTACAGATTTATAGTTCTGCTCACAGAGCAGGAGAACTGTTGGAATGCACCCTGGACAAAGCTCTCCCTGAAAGTCAAGTTTTTATATCCCATAGAATATGACATTGATGTGCTCAGAGGCTTTCTTGTTAGCCAGATGTAATGAGCATTTGTTAGTACCTACTGTATAGCACTTTGGTCAATGCTACAGCTTTTTTTTAAATGTGAAAAACTTGAACAGGAAGTGTTGGAAATACTCTGGCTCCATGTTGTTCACCCACACATGTTCTTGCAAAAACTGAGCCTCTCATTTTCTCCTCCTCTGAACACACTCATCTTTCTGTCTTTGGTTCAAGCAGTCATCCCACAACTTCTGTGGCTGCCTCTCTTCACTCTTGCAAGTCTTGCCCACCCCCTGGTTTACTGAGCCCTGTTCTGTCAGCGGTGAAAAGGACATTGACCAATGGGTTGCAGTATGAAATTTGTCACCATTTTGGATCTGCCAGCAAACCACAGAGAAGAAGGAAAAACGGGGGAGTCTGGCCGAGCCTCATGTCCCGCTTTTATTAAATACCTCCTCAACTGCAGATCCATCTGCTTGACTTAGTGAGCGACACACACACCTGCGGTCAGAGCTAGCCTGCTGTCAGCACTTTTCACATGCTGCGTTTGCATGTACCTCTGTTCTCTAAGAGACACTGCAGTTTTAATTAACTGTCTTCTCAACCTTCCAGACGTCACACTAACCACCAGCCATTTTATTAATCTTTTTTTTGCCACAGTCATCTAACTGCACATCAGATCAAGATGTTTATAGTTTCAGTTTCACATTTTTTTAATGGTTTAATCACAAAGTTTCCTCCAGCTTTTGGACAAAGCTTATCTACAGCTTTTGATAATCTTTCAGTTTATAATTCCCGTTAAAAAGGAGTGTTTAATAGTTTTACATGACTGGTGATGGTTGCATTGGTGTTTATAAGAATCCTTAAGTTAATGATGGTAATCTGTTACATACTGTTTTTTTTTGCCATGGCTCCTCAAAGGAGATGAAATCAATTTAATTTAAAGAGATCACAAACATTTTTCTTCTCATAGTAAACCATATTGTATTGTAAAATTACACAGCCAAAGCAAAAGGGGGAGCCTATTCGAGAACTAACGAGAACTACGGTGGATGGTCACAGTTAAGATGTCTTGGCTTAATTAGATCACAATTTGACAGAATTGTGCTTCTTAACATGGCTGCTCGTTGGAGTAGCTCTGCTAGCTTGATTGTGATTTGCTTTAGTTTGTTCCTTTGTGGATCAAAGTTTATTGTTCTGATTTTGTTTTTATTTATATTTTTCTACTTCCACTAAGGGTGGAAGCTGAAAGAGTTCTTGCAAACACCTCTTAATTCTTAATTCTTAATTTTTTTTAACATTTGTTAGGATTTGTTTTGTTTTTCTGTTTTTTACACCTGGGAGATGCTTATTACTATCCCAGAAGCTGAAATATTACTTCACCTTCTTTTGCAAATCCCTGCTCAGTTCAACAGAATGCACTAAATGATGCAGAGCAGGAGCAAGAAGAGAGAGGAGGAAATGCAAGCTGTCTCTTCCTTTAAAGATTATCAGCATTGTAAGATGTTTAGTAGACACAAGGTAGAAAAGCTCCAAGCCCTAGGAAGGACACAACCAGATTATAGGGAATGCAGTATTGTGTGTTTTACTAAAATGTACTATGTGAAAAGATTCAATAGGTCTATTTTAACAACTGTTGAGGTATAACTTTTTGCTGTTTTGTTCAGTCCTGTGTTGCTGATCTACAGACGCGACAGCCAAATTAATTTGGGGTGGGAACGGGTCATTTTAATCCCTGCTTAACAAGGAACTGCTAAACAAGAAGTGAAAAAAGAGGCTTCAAGATGGAAGGTAAATAAGTAATGAGGAGTACAAGGAAAGCAAGGAAGTAGCTGGAAAGCTCGTCCTGCGTCTGTGTATTTGTTCTCAACCAAATCAGAAGATGGTGCTGCTCCCTCCTAGTTCCAACTGTCTCTGGAAGTCAAGGGAAAAAGAAACTTGAAATGGCTCCCAAAAAAGCACCTAGTCCATATGGAATTAGCCACAGAGTCTTGAAGGACTGCAAAGAGCACACCTTTATTCTACAACACCTCTTAAACCTTAGCCTGACCCAGAGGCTGGTTAACTGCCTTGTTAGCCAACAGTCCCCACTGACTACCGTCCTGTTTCCCTGATATCCCGCATTACAGAAGTTTGGCAACTTTGGCTTGGCCATTCTGACACAAGATGTGTTGATCTAAAACAGTTCCCCATAATTGGCTGTATGTCCTTTTGCTGCCTGTAACAAATTTTACTGCAGGATTAACCTGTATTTAGTCCTATTTGTCCTTCCACGAACTTTGACCAGCTCCCCCATTCTTACTGAACTTAAGCATCCCGCTATCACTAGATGGCATCAATATCTTCCTCCTGCAATGAGCTCTGTTCCTCCCAGCCTGCATGCATTGGGTGGGTCATGTTTTTTGATTTTCTCTGTATTTTAATACCATTCAGCCTAGGTATATGAAGGTTTAGCTTAAGCTATCAGGAGTGGACCGCCACCTGGCTATAAATCATTTTCCATCCTTCATAGTGTTTCATTTGGCTTGTGGCAACTCCCAAACACAACTTCTTATTAATTTCTTTCAACAATGGCTTTCTTTTGTTGAGTGATGGTTATCCTGCTTGCTGCTCTGACCTACGGCCAATTTATGCTTCTGAGGTATAGCCTCTGCAACCGTCAAATCTGTCTCTGTGTGCGACAACACCCCCGCGCAGAGGTTCTGCAACCGTTGTCGTGCACCTTAAAAAAAAATTCCTGACTATGCGTCAGACGGTCGCAAACCCACGCACACCTCAGGCGGGAGTGCTCAGAGAAAAAGCAGCTGTGATTGGTTCTTGGTATGCCTTTCCGGCTGTCTGTGTGGTTGTCATTCTCGATTCGGTGCCAGGGCGCACCATTTATAAAAAACCTAGGAACAACTTCAATGGACAACTACGACGAAAGGTTAATTGAGGAGGTTCGCTCTATTAACAGAACCTGTTCCTCTTCAATGTCTAGCAACTCTAGATCCATATCCGTGACCGTGATATCTTGCAGACGCGCCATTGTTATTTTGGAAGATAAACACTCCTGGCAGCGCCGCCAAAGTTCTCGTGACCATCCACCGTAGTTCTCGTTAGTTCTCGAATAGGCTCCCCCTTTTGCTTTGGCTGGAAACTGCTGTGCGTCCCTAGAAATTCCAGACCGGCGGTGCAGAAGCATAACAGCAAAAGTGGTTTGCGACCAGACCCAAGCGACATGTGCGGTTGCGGAAGTATAATCTGCTCTTTAGACTTTGACAGATTTTATTTTGTCATTTTGTACACACAAGTGTAAACCATAAGTAATTTCGTACAGCTCTCTAGACTATTTAAATATTTAAAGTGCGTTCTTGATAAGCTAAGCAGCAGTGATAAATACATTTGGGCCTCCTCTGCTCTTTTTATTTATTTTTTTTATTGGATTGAAGAGTGCTCCCTAAGATTTTTGGATGTTATTTTGCACTTTACACCTTGTTTAAATCACTTAACCCTCGACTTGTCTGGTCTGTTCATTGGTTCTCTTCTGAATCTTTCACAGAAAAACTGTATTAATTAATTAATTAATTAAGGAGACACCTCAAGGCAATGGGTAGCACTAACTTTTAAGGGTATCATATTAAAGAGGGTATTTAAAACAATCTAACCTTGAGTTGGTTTACCACGAAAAATCTCTACAAATTACCATGACCTTTGTGGTTATAACTTAACAGCATGTCGTTGTATCTAGTATATAAGCAGTTGGTTTGTTAGCGGTCCTACTTTTTATGATAGGAAATTGGGTAGTCTTTGTTTTCTGGCCTCAAAGCTTCAGGACGGACAAATCAGTTTATTTTACCATTTGAGATCATGACTCCAGGGGTCTATTAAAAGGCCTCAGGCTTCCTGTTTGCTTTTGAGTAAACAATTTAGCTCAAGGGGCTCATTGACTTCCAGCCTCGTAGTGTTTGTATTCTTAGACCTTGGCATATTCAGATGTATTTAGCACTTGTTAGAGAATGAATTATCTTTTACTTGGTCGTTGAGAATTTTTGCTACAGCTATAAACTTAAAACCGTTTCATAAGAATAATAAGTTGCCTTATACAAAGTACACTGATGCACTCCTCTGAATGTTTCATGATGGTTACAGTCAGCTGCACTGATGCTTACTAACCCCTTGCAGCACTTTCTTTCTCCCGCTCCAGCACTCTCCACTCGATACCATATTTTAATGTTTCCGCCTGTCAAGTGGTGCCAAGATGAGATGTTGGCTGGATATTGTTTTGCTGTGGCTGTTTGAGCTGTTGTGTTTTCCCATAATTGAACATCAGGCTGAGTACAGCTTACAGGCTGATGGGGGGCCAGAATGTAATACAGCAAGCAAAGCAAAAACATTTCTGCTACCCCCATTTTTGTTTGTTGAATCTTTTTTAGTTTATTTCTCATCTTTCCAGAATTTTCAGCGTTTTTTTTTTTTGTGTGCTGTTTTTCCTCTATTGCAATTTCTGTGCTTTCTACCATCATATGGCTGCTGCCTCCTCCTCTCAGCAGGATTCACTGAGCTTCGGTGTTGTTATTGAGGGCTATGGAGACATTTTGAAGTGCGAACATATGCACCTGTCCCACATACTTTGTTTCTTCATTTCTTACTAAAGTAACAGTGCCTTGCAAGCATATTTGTACCCCTTAGACTTTTTCCCATTTTGTCTTTTTACATCCTCAAAGCTCAGTATGATGAGAAATATGACGGTGCCTTTCTATCCTTATATTTCAAATTTCCCTTTTATTATTATAAGTAGTCTCGCTTTGACCTCTGTCTAGAGCAATTTAATAGCAGAAATAGCTCTAATCAGAAATGACCAACTATACATAGTTAATTCTACATAATAGCTTGGATATTACTTTTCTAGTCTCAAGGTGAGATACATCGATTTTACCATATTTAATGTAATGAAAAGGGAGAAAAAAAAAGAAAATGGCATAATCTTTGCATTTATAATCTGTCCTTACTGGGACTTCAGTCAAACATCAGTACTTTGACTGAGAACACCAGAGTAGATTTTCTGAAATTTAACCTGTGAATATATGTCAAAGTGACTTTTAAAATATTTGTTACACCGAGATGTTGCATCATTCTTTACCTGCAGCATTTCTCTGCTCTAACAAAGTTATATTTTTGTGCATTTCCTTTTTTGTAAATTCCCCAGTGTTCCTGCCGGAAGGACATGGTAAAGATCTCGATGGATGTGTTTGTACGCTGCCTGCAGCCTGATCGCTATGAGCTTTGGAAACAGGGCAAAGACATCACAATTTTGGACCACCTGAGGGCTACAGAATTGACCAGTCCTGAACTGGAGCGCTGGAGGCAGCACAGGATTACCTACCGACAGAACCTGCTGCAAAGGTAAGACAAAAAACATATCAGATATCAATGTTATGTGACTCTGTTAGTGCGTTTGTTTTTTCTTGCATAGTATTTACAGAAATGAGATGGTCTCCTTTTATAAGCAAATGTGTTCTCTATACATCAGAGCAATGCACAAGATGAAGCAGGTTCGTCGTCTAAAGCTTGAGGAGGTAAAGGTGCTGGCGGAAGAGGGAATTGAGCTGAATGCTGCCGAGTACCAGCGTCAAGTGGAGGAGCGTGAGGCTCAGCGCAAGCAGGAGAAGGAGGAGCGTTTAGCCAGGGAAGCCATGTTGACCTTGGAAGCCATGGAACGTGAGGAACAGGAGGCTGCCGAGGCGGCTGCAAAGGCAGCAGACAGTCCTGTGAAAGCAGAAGGTTAGAGAAAGTATGCTGAGGAGAATATAATAATACAAAGTAGAGTTTAAGAATAATTAATAAGCCAAAACAAAAAGTTGTTTTAAATGCACAACATGGCTTTAAATGCTCTTATTCTCTTTGCTAGATGATAAATCTGAAATCAAACCCCAAAACTTGATGGAAGAAATCGAGAAGAAGAAGCTGAAAAAGCAGAAGAAGATGTTCATTATCGACGGTCCCTTGTCTGGGTTCGAAGAAGCATTTGAGAAGTTTGCTAAATCCGAAAAAAAGGACATTGATATGTCAATCAAAAAGGAAGAAGAAATGGACATTGAAATAAGCCCCACTCAGGTAAAACAGACATTAACAAGATCAGATATAACCTCTAAATATATATCTAATCTTTTAACACGATCTTATTGGTCATTATTAGGACTTAACTGGGGTTTAATGGTACAGCTAAATCATTGTTCTGTGTGTTAACTGTTTTTTTGATCATGGTTTCGTTACAGGTAAGGTCGAAAAACAATGTAATGTGCATGCATGGTTTATTTCCTTTTAAATCTAGAATAGCCCCTTTAATAAACAAGAGGAGAAAAACACTGCTAGTGCTACTTAGACTTCAGGGCAGTATTCTATTTAGGCAGGATTTGTGCATTTAAAAAAAATTGTCTCCCAAATGTTAATCCAGTTAACATTTTTGAAAGTTTTTTATCACAATAAATAATTTATCAGGTCTTACAATGAGAGGTGTACAGGTTAAGAGGCTCTGCACAACTGAATAACTTCTCCCAATTTTAAAATTCAGCCATAACATTTTAAATCTTTAAACTCTATTCTAGCGTGTTAGAATGAGGCTCCTTACCAATGATAGATCAGATTAACTTTCGAGTATCAGGATTGCACTGAAATTTCTCCAATTTAAGATCAATGAAGTTCTACAGGGGAGTATTGGCCTAGTGGGCTTGATCACTGCAGTTGTGCTCTGAGAAGGTTGCAAGTACCAAGTTTGATCCCCACAGCCTGCACTCTGGGTCTCTGAGCACGACCCTTAACCCCACACTGCTCCCCGAGCGGTGCACAGTGGCAGCCCGCTGCTCCCAAAGGCGATGCGTTAAATGCAGAGGTGAACTTTTCCAGTGTGAGATCAATAAAGTTCTATTGTTATTATTAGTGCTGTCAGACGATTAAAATATTTAATCACGATTAATCACATTAATGTCATAGTTAACTTGCAATTAATCGCACATTTTTATCTATTCTAAATGTCCCTTGATTTCTTTGTCACATTATTTTTTCTCATTTTAATGCTCTTATGAATATGCGCTTCTGTCTGAAATCATCCATTGTTACCTGGCTTTGACGAGGGGGCGGAGAATTCGAATCAGCTGAGTGCTTGGCCATTAACTGGTATTTCAGACTGGTCGTGCTGCGATGATAGCTCAGTTCACAACGACAAAACACACAGATCACTTTGGTCTTGTCAGTGGAACCATTTGGCAACTTTTTAAAAGAAAACTTTCCAGTGTGGTTGCAGCGTGCCTGATGTTTTGTTTCTGGTCTAACTAGATCTGGAGTGGTGTTGTAGTTTTTCTAATGTTACTAGTTGTTGCAACAGCATGTGAAAAAACTACAAAGTGTGCTAGGCCAAAAAGAACGTTAATCACACGATACAAAAATTGACGCCGTTAAAATTGGTTTACGTTAACACCGTTAATAACTCGTTTAACTGACAGCACTAATTATTATTATTATTATACATGTGATAAATCAATTTGTTTTCTGAAAATTAGTGACAAACTTGTATCTTTTTAACTGTGCAATTTGCATATATTATACATATATACTCTTTAAATACATTGTCCCCTTTTAAATCAATAAATACCAAAACCAATAAAAAAAAAAAACATATATTTCCATGTTTGGAAACCGGTTGTAGTTACAGGATAGGAGGAGTGACCTCCTTTGTCTGACTGAAACCAGCCATTCTGGACAAATACTTTTAGAATCACAAAACTAATCTAACAGGGTAGAGTTACAGCTTTTATTTAGTTTGACTTTTTAAAATTGAAAATCCAATTTATGTATTCAGTTTTGTCTGGACAGTACGATAATGCTTACTTTTTTTTTTTTTTAGCAGCTGACCTACTCTAAGATAAAAAAGCCAACGGAGGTGAAGAAAAGTCGGCGCCATCCGCTCAGTAAGCCGCCCATGCGCTCGCCGCTGTCAATTGTCAAACAAGACCCAACTACTGAGAAAGGTGCGTGAGCTTTTATCTTTAATATTTAGTCAGACTGACTTGTTCTAGATTTCTGTAAACAAAGTATAAATATTGCAATTTTCTGTCTGTGAGGAATATTAAAAAATATGATATAAAACAAATTACAATTTAATTGAAAAAATGAGAGGGAACATCATTTTCTGTGCCTGTTATTCATCCATGCAGTTGTTCTCTTCATCAAAGTGCTGAAAGTGAAGAGGACACCATTTTTATTTGTTTTATTGATCTGAGGAAGGAAAAACAAGCAGGACTAAAGTTCCCTGTAGGAATAAATGAAACCAAGATGGCGAGGCTTCTTTTTCACACTCCCCCTCTCTCTTGTTTTTTTCCCCTTTTCATTTTCTGACTGACACATATTGATCCGGGGATCATGACTTCCAATTACCTGCTTTCAAAGTCACTTTAGCGTGTGTAGCCGGGGACCACACTCTGTCCTTCATAGGGTTGGATGATGGGAAGGAATAAGGAGGAAGAACAGATGTGGGGAAATAGACCGCAGTTTAAGGGGAAATCTTGTGAAAAGATCTGCCTGACTTCTGTCCAAGCCTAACAAAACAATGTGGATCTGTAGCTTGAGCGCAACATTGCGAAATCGATTCTGACCCAGAGTGGCAAATTATTGATGCTTGTGCCGTTTGTGTCACCAATTATATGAGGACTGGCTGAAGTGTTGCTTTCAAAAGGCCTGACATTGTTTCTTTCCATGCCTCCCTCCGCTTATTCTCTATTATCTCTCTTTTATGCAGTCTAAAGTAGGTCATTGCCAGAAAGATTCTTTGTTTACACCAATACACGTTTCGGGTGAATTACTGGCTATTGGGTTTTTTATTTTAATCTTTTTTTAATGTTTTATCCACAGAGATGTCTTCTCAAATGCCAATGGATAGCAGCATGAAGAAACAGGAGCATTTATGGCAGAGTCACTCCCCAAACTTTTTGGCTGAGAAGTCGTTCAATGCCGCTGTTGCTGCACTTGAACCATACTGTGCTGTCTGTTCTCTGTTCTGCCCCTACTTAAAGGTAAAAACCCACACTGCTGGATAGACACATTTAGAAGACTTTTAGGGAGGAAACATGTTGACTCAGCAAGTTTATTCCCATATTTCTTCTTCATTCAAGTCACACAGAGACGTTATCGCTCCAACTTTCATCCCTGACCCCTCCATACCTGGACATGGCAGTTCGACTCGACCGCTGGTCCCAGAGATGTGCTTCAGTGTGGGAGCGGTCAACACAGAACCACCACCTACAAACTACCACATCGGGGAGGATGGAACCAGTCTTCTGGCCAGGTGTAAATGTTGCGCCATGCAGGTTCATGCCAGTAAGTAGGCTTTCCCTACATTTATCTTCCTTCATCCTTTTTTTGTTCACCAGAAACAGCTTTTGGTACAATTAGCAAACAGAATGGGATCCTACCCCAGTGGATATTTTTAAACAAATTTGGGCTTTCTAGTTTATCTTTTACTTTTAAGAGTAAATAGTAAGGCTTTAATCCAGGAGGACCAGTCTAAGTGATTATGATTATTAATCTTGTGCTCTGTACATTTAATAAAACAAAAAAGAACACCCTAATCGCTCTAATATGTGTGAAGTGGCCTAACTGCACCTCATTGATGAACAGAACTTATTTCTGTCAAAGGACTGAGCTTAACTTCATGTTAAAGCTTAAATTTGCTATTTTAGTATAACTCAATTTAGCCAATAAAAATGTTACAATTATTTTTTTTATAAATTGGTTGATGTTTGACTAATAAACATGTCTGTTAACCTAATATTACATTTTATTTTCATTTCTGTATATGTGCTAATTACACTTTTACACTCATGTTAAGTGATACAAGTGAATAAATTCTCCATCTACTTTGAAAAAAATCAGCTTTCATAAAATACCTGCTGGGTTGTATTTGTACCTTCCCAAAATAACAAACTAATAAATCCCAGCACTAACACGTGCACACACACATTAACCCTCCTGGGTTCTTGTTATCCCTAAAGCTGGAGCACACCTTCAAGGCCAGTTCGTTAGTCATACTGGGAAGAGCTGCTGAAACAGCGCTGCTATTGATAGGAAGACATGAAGCAGAAAGAGCTCCTGTCAGAAATGCCAGTTGTGCATCCCCGAACCTTTGTTCTGCAGCGTTCTGGGCTGAACCTCTAACTGAAGATCATTTGAACATGTCCCGGTGTTATATAAGCCTGTGGGTTTACAAGCTACAGTGTAAGATTGGAGTAAGAAAATTGGGCAATTTATAAAAAAAAAGAACATCTATTGTTTAACAAGCTGTTCTGTGTTGCTCACATCTACAGATGAGAAAATCAAAAACGCCATAAGGGAAGTGGTTAAAATAATCGGCAACTCCTCTTTTACAGGTTGTTACGGTTTGAAGCCGGAGTCTGTCAGGGATTCCTGGACCTGTTCCAGGTGTACAGCAGGAGCCTGGGTAGTGGTGAGTGGATGCTGTAACTGATGTTCAAACACAGCTGGAGAATAATGGCTAGTTGCTTTGACTAATGTGAGAATTTCAGCTGCATCTTTAGGTCACATTTCTATTAGATAAACAGGGAGCTGTGAGGTTATCAGGGATTAGGATTTCCAAGGTCAAAACATTTATTTTAAAGAATACCTCTGCTTTTTCAGGAGTGTTGTCTCTGTAACCTGCGTGGAGGAGCATTGAAAAGGACAACAGATAACAGGTAAGTGCTTGAGGAGTTAAAGGTAACCAGGGTTTTCACGTTAATAAAACTTCATTTTATTATAGATTTGGGCTGAAACAATCAGATTAATCATGATTGATTATTGAAATAATCATCAAATAATTTAGTAATCAATTAATCATTAACTGGAGCTCTAAAACAGGCCTGTAGCTGACAGAGTGACCCAATATATAAACATTTTGCATTTAAGATAAAAGTTCTCTGTCAGTATGCTCTGTCCAGAACTTAACAAGTTGAAAAGTTTTATTTTCACCTCGTTTAATTTTGTTAAAAATCTTGAAGGAATCTTTGGCTATCCGATTATTTATCGATTAATTGATAGATTAACCCAGAGGTCTTCAACAGGGGGTCCGCGGAGGCACTGCATGGGGGTCGCGAAACTTTTGGTTGATTCATTTTTTTTTTTTTTATATTCCCTCCTGAATTGAAATGTCTTTAAATCCACATTAACATGAATTCAACACACTGTAGTAAACAGATAAATGGAGGCAGAAGATGTCTTTCAGTCATCAATGTTCACATTCAGCTACACACAGGAGCTATTTCAAGTTGGACACCATTTCATTCACAACACCTGTCCCATCAACCAGGAATCAGAATCAGAAATACTTTAATAATCCCAGGGAGAAATTACTTTCCTCACATAACTCCATCTTTAATAGAGTGACTATAGGACCAGGTTGATATAACACAATTTCATACAATATATATAATTAGGGGGGTCCCCACTCCATCTTGTCATCAGTTTGGGGGTCCTTGGCCTGGAAAACGTTGAAGACCCCTGGATTAACCCATTTGCAAAATAATTATTAGTTGCAGCCCTATAAGAGATACCCAGAAAAAATATTGGATGGTGGATACCATTTTTGATACTGTGGGGATTTAAAAAACAAAACAAAAAAAACACAAATAGTTCATTTTTTATTTTTATTAATATGAAAAACACCTTTTTTTTTTAACTCAAGATAACCTCAGACTGTAGTTAAATAAGTGGACAAATAAATGGAAAATAACTAACACAAATATAACAAAATGGGACAATATTTTAATTGTCTGAAGTATATTTCTTTTCACTTGCAAATAACAAATCTAACATGAACAAAATCAAATATGCAAACAACACCTGTCTTTAGTATTCATCAGGCCAAATCAATATTGTATCCAGATGCAGCATTTGAGTATAACTAAAATGATCAGGAAGCTTGGATTTAATAAAAACTGATCATATTTTTGTTTTTCACAAGGCCCTTTTTCTAAAGGTTAACATTAGTCTCACTTTTTGTTCAGGTGGGTCCATGTTATCTGTGCCATCGGCGTGGCAGAAGCTCGCTTCATCAACGCCATCGACAGGGAGCCAGTGGATGTCAGTGCTATCCCAGAAACCCGAAAGAGTTTGGTAAGTGCAGATGGAGACGAATAAGAGGTCTGCATAAACTCTCATACCATAGTTTATTATTAAGCAGGCAGAGTTTAGTTTTCTTTATATAAGCAACTCTCTGTGGAGAAAGAAACTTTTCAGTATTGATGCTCGCCATGATGGTTTTCCTGTACGCTCATAAAGTCTCCCGGGCTTGCGAGCTCCTCCAGTCTTTTTCTACTCTGCAGCGGATTACTTTCTTTCCTGTTCATTGCCTTTGTGTCTGTCACTTTTTCTGTTCCCCTCCTTCCTTTCCTGGTGGATTGATAGATTGTGTTTTTTGTGTGAGAAGTGGGGTAAAACAGACATGCTGAAGGGAATGGCTGAATAATCAGCTGTCATTTCTCACTGCGCCAAATGAACTGCATCGATCCCGTGGGTTGAAGGCAATTTCCCCATTGCTGCCGCATCTTTGAACACAACTTGTTTCGTTCCTTCCTTTCGCTCTTGTTTTTTTGCAGATTCTTTTTTTTTTTTTTTACATTCCCTCCCTTGCAGTCTTTGCTCCGTGGCGAGTGATTGCAGCGCTTGCTGCTACATTATCACAAACGCACAAATAATGTCACCCCTCAGCCTCATCTTCTCTCTGAATAATCGATCAAAGACAAGCCGGGTGACATTTGCATCGGAGTGCTGTCAAAGCAGGTTTTCTCCATCTCTTCTTAAAAAGCTGTGAGAAGAAGCTGCGCGCTCTAATGATTCGGATGACTGGTCTGATCAAATGTGAGCATGCACCCGTGGAACCATTTTATAACGTGCTGTGTTCTGCAGTCACCCTCCTACCCTTAAACATTTATCTCTCAGCATAGTTGTGTTGGATTTTATCAGCCACTATTGCACAGTGCAAACTCTAAAAAGGTGTTGATGTTTGATACAAAATAAATTTGTATATATATAAATGGAATGGTGGCATTTTTATGTTGTTGTAGGTGTAAAAATGTTAAATTTTTCTATATACACTGTTTCTGAAAAAAGTGGAAAATACTTCACAAATGGTTTGTGGCCATCAAAATGCTTCAGTGTTATTCTATGGGTCAAAAAGTTGAGTAAAAGCATTTGACACATTTGAGATTTTGAGAGATTTGGAGACACTGGTGACACAAAGTTCAAAGCCCAACAGCTTTGGCACTGTTGTAGCTAGAGGTCTCACATTTTCTTCATTTTTTGGTGGCATGATGGAGAACAAATGTAATACAATGAGACATGCCTCTTCCCTAGATCTCTTTATTACTGCTGTTCCAAAAATACCTATTATTTTCTACAATAAGAAAAAAAAACTTTGAGTCATGTTTGAATTGATGCAGCTTGGGCTGTGTTTTACTCAACCAATTTTCATTTATATATTCAGAAACTAGAAGGTGTTAGCTTTCAAATAATGTATCACACATGTAATTTGGGCTTACAGTCCCTAAATTATTTGCTTATTTGGGTATGCAAAATAGGTGATGATCACTTCGAATTAGGTGGGTTTTAAGTTAAACCTTTGGAAGTTGAGTCTGGTGAAGATTGCAGTTTTTACATGAAACATGTTTGAAAGAGTTTATAGTTTAACTAATAAACTTTACAGTTCATTATTTTCAGTTGCTGTAATTATTTGTAACTTTTTCATAAATTATCAAAGGATGTGATTGTGTCTGCTTCCATTTGCTTTGTTTCCGACTCCTGAATTTCCTGCCTCTGGGATAGCAAACATATTTCCATTCTGCTCTAAATAATGGCATTATTTTAGGTAAACTAGTAGAAATGCTTTCCCTTGAGAAAAACGTTGTCATTTGAGAGAGGATTCTAAGAAAATGACTTCTGTCACTGAGCCACATAAATGACGCAGTTATTGGACACAGTTAAACTACTTTTTGTTATATAGATATGTCTAATGTTGTTTATAGCCAAAGTCAGCAGTTTACTTTTTAAAGGGATGCATGGTGAACTGTCTAATTTGCTGACTTAATATGGATATTCAGGAGTGAGCTGAATACAATTAAAGTTGTTGCTGAGTTTTGCTGTTTGCTTTTATGTCACCATCTTCCTGATGTTTCATCAGTAGAAAAACCTCTACTAGCTGGTAGCAATTATAGGAGGTAAACCGTCTGGCCTGCACAGGAACCGAAATGAAATATTGACACGATAATAAAAAAAATGTATTCTTTCATTGATTGGCTCTGCTTTCCAGCTGCTCACTCATTTTGTTTTTGTTTTGTTTTTTTTATTTTCAAAGTCGACTGTCTGTGAAATTGTGGCAAAGAAGTGGATCTTGAAAAATGAAATGTCTCTTGTGGTAGTTTCAATTAATGCAAGGCAGTTTGATTATAATGACTGATTTAGTATCTTATATCAAAGCTGCTGATATAAATGCTTCTCTGGTTTTCAGTAAAAACACAGTATTACCAGTGTTACCAATACAAAAGGCATCAGTGCATCTCCTGTTTGTATATTTAGAAATATTTGTAAGTAAATCCTGCTATCGAGAACTGTACATTTTTCAAGGAGCTCCAACATCTGCTGGTATATTTTCACTTGAAGGATCTCCAATCACCTCCTCATTGATTGTTGGATTTATTTTGATTTCAAGCTCATCTCTAATTATGACTGACAAGGTGTATTGTTAAATGGAGGGAAAATAATGAGTGAAAACGTAACCCACCATGATTAAGCCGCCTTGATAGGTTTGAAAATAATGGGAAAGCCTGATATTTGCTTTTGTTCAAAAAGCAGGTTGTTGTTTTATTTATAAATGGTTCATAAATCACACTGGCTCAAAATCTAAACTTATTAGCCATGTCACAGACAGGTGTTCACTCATTGATATGTAATTGGTGTCCTTGCCACCTGTTGTTGATGTCAAGTCTGTTTGAGTTGTTTACAGCACACTTGCTGACATTTGAAATGGGAATGTGCAGAACCCAGGATTTTTGTTTTTCCATTTTAAAGCACTAAACTCAGACATCTTTGTTCATAGACCAACATTTTACTTTAAGGAAAAGATTAGAGCAATAAGATAAAGACAAAATCTGAGAAAATAGACTTGTTTTGTGAAGTTAATTTAGGTGGATGTGGAATTTAGATTCCTGCTAATTAATTTTACATGCACAACACTGTTAGCTTAGGGTAACTTGGCTTTTAAAGTAATACTTTTGGATTTGATAAACTCAAAAAGTACCACGCAGTGTTAAGGAAATTGGTTTTAAAGGGAAGAAACCACCAGCTTAGTGTAGGGCGGCTATCTGCTGCGACTGACTGGGGTTTGAAGAACACGTAGAAACACGGTGGCTTCAACTTGAAGGGAAACGCAGTGAAACATAAAAGCTCTGAGCCAGTAGTAAAATATAAACCATGGAAAACATAGAACAGATTTCGTAACAGAAATGGCTCATTCAGTTGCAGTGCCCAGGATAAAAAGAGGTATTAGCAGCATTAATCTAACCTGTTGCTCCCTCCAGGAGGAAATCACAGCTAAACAGAATGCCAGGTCACATTAATGTCAGCAATGGCTGCAGATGATGCATAGTTGGCAAGTAATAGGAGAATGTATCAGGAATAAAATTTTTCATCCTTCATTGTTCGAAACAGTATTTTTAAGCTCAGACCTTCCTTCTGCCCTCTTTGTCTTTGCAGAAATGTATTTTCTGTCATTCAACCAATTCCAATCCCAACCGTGGCGCTTGCATCCAGTGCACGCACGAGCACTGCTCCACTTCCTTTCATGTCACCTGCGCCCAGATTGCCGGAGTTGTGATGAAGCCCGCAGACTGGCCCTACGTGTTGTCGGTCACCTGCCACAAACATACGAAGGGCTTTCAAAAGCCAAACAAGGTGGGGGAACTTGAGGCTGTAGAAACGTTAAAAGTTGCAATTAGAATACATCAGCAGACAGTAAAAGGGATCCGATGTCTTAATGTGAAAGGATGTTAGTGAGTCTCATTATATATTTTAATATTTTCAAAACTCAATGTCAACCAGAGGGAATATAGAGTTTTGATTGAGTTCTTCTTCATATTTCAGTGAGAGAACATGGCTCCTAATTGTACAATAACACAGATAGTGTTTGCTGAATCTCAGTCCTGATCCCTGCGTTCTGTTCTTCCTGAAGCCTCGGGCAGCACCTAAACCTGCTCCCCAGGGTCTAGACCTGGGCCTGAAGGTGATCGGGCGCAACAGCGATGGATGGTACTACCACTGCACCATCATTGGCATGGCGACACAGACGTTCTATGAGGTCAACTTTGAAGATGGCTCATACTGTGATAACGTGTACCCAGAGAATATAGTGGTGAGTGTTTAAACAATTAGGGTTCCTATGCAGTCTGGAAGTGTCTGGAATTACATTCGAAGTTTGTTTTTTTTAATGCAGGGTATCACGGTATTATTGTCAAAAAAAATAGGTCTTACTTTCTGTCTTTTGCAGGTTCTTAATTTATTCTTTGTGTATTTTCATTTTAAATCCATCCCTTCAGCTTCTTTTCCGTTCTATCTTTGTTAATGAACACTTTATTGCTGTATTGATAATAGTTAGTTATAACCAGGTGCTTTGCATGTGCGCTCCTTCTAAAATTGTCTTTAAATTCATGTTTAAAAGAAGGAAAACAAATTAAATAGAGCTCATGTAGACCCCTTTTTATACCCCCTCTTTTTTTTCTTGAAAGGGGCGGAGATGATAATTTGCCTCGTGTGTATGCATATTAATGTGGGTGTAACGTTAGAAACTTTAGCAGTTTGCCATGGTTCTTCCATCATTGTTTCGTGGTTTCTTACACAATAGATAAACAGCTACACAAATAGCAACACTTAACGACCAGCTGAGTCCCTGATTGCTGGAATTACCTCTTTTGTGGAATAGAGACGGACATGATGAAAGCAGAGTGGGCTAATGTTAGCATCCTTCCATGAATGACGTTAATCAAGGAGGAGGGCCAGAATCATACTTTGTGGTCTTTTCTGGTTTAAACAAAGAACCAAGCAAAAAAAAAAAAGCCACTTTGACAATCAACACCATCACTCGTGTTTTAACATGAAAATTTCTTTTTAAAATATTGCCTTGGGTTTAACCCCCAGCGGTTCTCTGAGGCTGCTTCCACTGTCAGGTCATCACTGTTAGGTTGATTAGTCTCTCTAAATTGTCTTGAAAGCTGTTTGTGGAAAAGTCTAGAATTTTTACATCAAAAATGTGGAGAATGCTGCGCCTATAATCCCAGCAGCTACTTCTGATTATAGTGAACTTGGCCTTTTCATTTCAAACACAAATACACATACTTCCTAGCAACCGATTAATAGACTCAAGAACAAGAAAATGTAATCCCCTTTATAAATATAGATGGCCTTTAATATTTTCTGTTTAAAGTTGGCAGAAAATAGAACTTAAATAAAATTACATCATTAAATTATTAAACTCCTCTCCTAGGGAGGTTGAATTTATAATGTAGCTATTCAAGTAATATGATTTAAAATGCTTGGTGGCACCGGTGAGTTTCAGAACTTAAAGCCTTTAAGTCGAATTGTAAGAAGCTGGAAATTAGGAAATACCTCCTTACAGACATTTCCAACTACCTTTTAGATTTTGTATAGATATCTATAATTCAGTGCTTTCTTTTTTTTTTCTTTTACCCCCTTTCTCCAGTTTTCATTTTTCACATCTTTGTCCTCCTTACAGAGCCACGACTGTCTGCGTACCGGAGCTCCTGATGTGGGAGAGCTGATTGTAGTTGCCACACAGGAGGGTACAAACCTCAATGCTTGCTTTGTCAAAGAGCACATCCACAAGTTCTACCAGGTGAGAGGACCCCTGCTGGCCCAACCTGTTTACATGTGTCATTTAGAGGGAGAAAAGTTTTTTTATTTTTTAGCAAGAAGGTCATCTTTATCCAAGCAGTATTTATTGATCCTTGCAAGGGAGAACAGCTGCACTCTGCCAATGTTCCGTCTGTTTTAAACTATACCGATTTGACTACTTCAGACCGTCTTACGCCTGAGGGTTTCCTCATACAGCTTTGCAAAACATGAGAAAAGCAGTTCCTTCAAAGGAATAGACATTGATTCTTGGAAGGTTTTACTCCCTTTTTTGCTTGTGCCAATAGATAAGATTTCAATGGCATAGTAATGGCCTTGTCATTCCATCTGACCTTTCCGTAATTTTTATTTAACGCACACCATTAAAAATTAAAAAGTCATGCTCACAACTTGATAAGATAGTAAAAAAAGTGCCAAGAAGCGAAGGAACCCCGAGGGTCTCCCTTAATCATACGATCAGCTTGGTTACCATTTCGTTTTTACCACATTGCAGATGTTAATCTGCCAGAGCGAATAATTTCCTGTGCAACAAAGTAAATGAATGGGCAGAAATGGAGAAGCAGTAGGAAAATGGAGATGGAAGAAATGTTTTTATTTCTCCATTTCAAAATGAACAGCTTCTCATTTCTAACAGTAGGTTAGTTGATGTAAGAAAAAAAAATACTATCTAAACTGGAGAAGGTTGTGTCCTTTATAATTTTAAACAGTTATTAAAGCTTTGGAGCTAGAAAAACTGTTGCCAGCCTTGTTTAAACGTGTTATTTATTGATGTTATTCGCCTGCTTCCCTGGTTTGGGGAATGAGCCACACCGCTTGATTACAGCTAGAGACTTGTTGAAAATCGGAGAACCAAATGTGAAATGTTACAAGTTTACGATGTGCACAAAAACACACTAAGGTTTATTAAACTAGCTTAGTAGCTCAAGGTTATGACATAATGAATTAATGGTCTACCAGTATTATCCACCCAGCATACTTTGAGCAACCAATGCTAGGGGTTGGAGAACAAATACCTGGAGAGGACAGACACTTGACTGGAAAATGGAGCATGGACCTTTTTGAAGGGTTGATCTGAACAGTGACTTGCATATTTATTAGCGTTAAGACAATATATTTAAACTGGTTTATGCTGTGATTACAAATGCAAGTATTTTATTCTGTTCTTTTAACATCATATTTAAGCTTTTTTTTCTCTCTATTAGATTAAACCTTTTTTTTTTATATTTGATTGTATACTAGATAAAATGTAAATGGTCCAGAAAATAGGAACAGTGTTGCAAGGTATTTAACACTCTGCTCTAGTATCCCTACAGTTTTCCATAATGACCTCTGCAGTCATTCTCATATCATTGAATTATTTATTTAGTATTTTTCACATGCTTTTCGCTGAGCCAAAACAAACAAACCAAAAAAAAAAAAACCTCCAGCTGTTCAAGCAGTCACAGTCACACCCCTGACCTTTCTCCTCTGTCGCAGAATATTGTTAAAATCTACATTTATATTTAAAGCGCTTAAGTCAGGCTCTGATCCAGTCAGTGAGCAGCTTTGGTTCAGTGCCATGGTCAAGGATAACTTGACAGCAGCACATGTTGGTTGATGGAACCACTAGTGTGCTGCTGTGGCAGCCCTGCTTTAGGTTCCCAGGCATAACTTTTCATTTTTAATCACAGAACCAGTCTGGTGTTTCTGTTTGATCATTTATTCCCTGCTGTGGTTTCCTTTGTTGTGCATTCAGGACCATTTATTTCTAGTATAATGACTCATGGTTATATTTCCCTACCTCAAAGTGTGTCAAAATATTTGTTTTATAGAAGAAAAATGATGAAACTGATGAATTGTTTATTAAATCCATTTAGGTGGAGTTTCAGGACCAAAGTCAGCTGATGCTTAAACAGTCAGAGATCTTTCAGCTGGATCATGAATTACCTAAAAGAGTTCGTTCTCGACTGGTGAGTATTTTACTGAAACTTTCCTCTGTCCTCCTTGGTTTCCAATCCCCCAAAAAACTAACTTTTTCTAATTAAAGTCCATTTAGAACAAATGAGACAACTAAGAGGGAATGCATTAACGTGTGGCTCCCTATTGCTTAAGCAGTCATTACCATGTTGGAGTGAAAGTGTCCTGTGGTTGTCTCATCCCTCACTAATGTCTATTTGGTAATTAACCAAGCTTGTGATGGCCAAAATGCAAAACAAACCTGCACTGCAGTAGTTCATGACTAGGTGATGTCCCAGGCTGACCCAGCCTCACGCAGATGAGTCTTAAAGCTGGATAATCCTGTTTGTAAATAGGAGGCAGTATTTAAAGGCAGTATTTTCCTTTTAAAATAAAGAACCCTTAAGAAAAAAGCCCAAACAAGGCAAACGTAGGACAGAGAAAGCAGAGCAAAGACATATAAAGCAGGGCTGCAGCTATCAGTGCTGTCCTGGTGTCAAACCGACCATAGCTCCACATATTCAACTAAGATTGTTTTTTTTCCTAGAAGCCGCCCAGAGCCTTATGTCTTCAGAAACCAGTCCTCAAAGTGTTTTCCATCCTCTCTGCGTACAGACATTTAAATTTAAATGTCTGTACGCAGAGAGGCTGGGAAACCTGTATCCAATTCCTTGCTGCTGTGCACAAGCAATAAAAGGCGCTGCGAGGTATCATTTTGTTATTGCAGGCCGTCTGTAGAACAGCCTTCTAAAAGACCTCAGGGCAGCAGGGACTGTTATTGTTTTTAAAGGCAAATTTTTGCCAATTACATTTGTTATGTTTTTTTCTTTTTTTTTTTAAATGTTTAACTTATGGAGGTTTTTATTCACACTTTAAATTTGATTGATATTATTTCATCTTAATTACATTTCTTTATTTTATTCATACCAGTTTTATTGTGGTTTTTGTTTTTTCAGTTCTGTCATGATTTTGGAATCCATGCTTCGTGCATTTTTTACTTTTGGTGTTTTTTTTGTTTTTGTTTTTTTTATCATCTTCAGTGACCTCTTATTGTCCCAAATTCCATTTTGTTTATTTCACAGCTTCTCAGCCTTTCTTTCATGTTTCCTCTTGTTCCGCTCATTAGGTCTTAGTCATTGATGTCTGTCTGGTTAGTTTTGTCCTCTTGTTTTATTTGATGTAAAGCACTTAGCGTCGCCCTCAGGTTTAGGATTATTTCAAAGCACTACTCGGACCTTTTTACCAGAACCTGGTTTGTGTAGTTTAAAGGACCCATGTAAACTCCTCAGGGACCGTTTCCACTGTTTGATCTAGGAAGTTTTTTCCTCTGAAGTCTTTATGGTGGAGCATTCATCTCAAGCACTTTTAATGTGAGCATTTCCACTGAGGATCAGTTATGTCAGCAGATGCCAAGCAGCAACTCCTTCCATTGCAGTGATGTTGAAAGCCTGAAGAGCAACAGAGTGAAAGCAAGGCTATGAAAATTAAGCTGTCCACAAATAAAACTGATGATTCTGTCCCATTGATGATGTTAGTTTTAAAGCGTTTCGTCGGCAGACTCTAGTTGTACAGGTTCTGAGGCGAAAAGGGGAAACTGCTCCGGTCGGGATTAAACACCGCTCCTTCAGCCACTAACGGACCCACAGAATTACCCTGGTTCTTGCGAAAGGTTCCTGTAGTGGAAATGCACCTTTTGGCTCATGTAAAATTCTCCTGGAATCAAGGAGTCAAAGGAAGCATGGAGACATGATAATGTGGTAAAGACTTCTTTTTTTTACTTGATAAGCCCTCATCTTTCCTAATCTGTCTTCTGTCTGCTTCCAGGCTCTACCTGCACCACAGGAGGACAGCATGTCGGCTGATGAAGCCCAAGCAGCGAAGCGCCGCCGCCTGCCCTCCAGCTCAGCGAAAGCTAAAGCTTCAGTTCAGATTTCAGCACCAGCACAGCAGAACCCCAGTGTTAGCACCCAACCAAATGTAGAGCCTCTCTCTGTAACTCCCGTTAGCCATCAGGAAGCCCCCGCCCCTGTCGGAAGCATGCAGAAGGATGAGGAGTCCGCAATGGACACCGGCAGCAACCCCACTGTCCCTCTCAACGAGCCCCCCCTGGTCTCCAACCCCCCTCTGACTCAGCAGCCCCCATCTTTTCAGGCCACATTGAACTCTGACCCCTTCCTCTCTGCCCCGCCACCTCCCCCCCAACACATGGCCGACAGCTACACGCCGAGCAGCGGCTACGTTTCCTACATGGAGACGCTCCTCCACTCACATTTTCCTCAGGATGAGGGCCCCGGCCCCGTGTATTAAAAATCATCTCCGTCATGTTATTAGTCAGCAGACATTGGCTGAGCCAACAGGAAGTAAGCTAAAGGAGGGGAACTCTTGAGTGCTGTATGGATGGACTGACGTTTCCTTGGAGAGAGAAGGAGGAAGAGGAAACAAGGATTTAAAGCACTCTTTTAATGCATGTTACTTTTTTTCTATTTTTGATTTAATATATTTGCAGTGGTGCTGTGAGGCTGCAGCCTCAGTTCATGCTAACATTGATGGTTTTGTTAGACTTATGCTTTTTTTTTGCGTCTACTGTGCAGTTTTTCCCTTCACATTGATATAAAGAACTCTCTGGATGGTATCAGTCCTATACTGTGTATTTGTTCAGTAAAGGCACACTCCCATGTTCTTCCTACAAAAACTGAAACATATACCAGCCTCCAGGCGGTGAGGCTCCATGGACATAAGACCTTATTAACTCAAATGACCAGCAACATCCGTTTTTTTCTTTCAATCCAGCTAATTAAGGCTGGGGAACTCTCATCCATCTCCAGGCCTTTGGTCGGAGTGTGTTCTTGTCATATTTCTGGAGATAAACTGGGGGAAACGGGGTTAAAAGAGAAATGTGTTGTAGCGGGAACTCAGTATTTAAATGTATTTGTTAAATATTGAAAGAAATATTTGTAATAGAGCAAACATGTTGAATGCAAACACTAGTAGATTTGCCTGGAGGATACGTTGAAGTCTAGTGAAGATGTAGTTTTCAGATGACACGTTGAAATCATCTGGTGGCTCCACAAATATTTTTTTTTTGTTTTTTTTGTTTAACAACAAAATGATCTCAGGGTTCCTACAAGCAAAGGACAAACATGACGACCAAGAAAATCCAATATTAACAAATGCTTTTGTCAGCTATACAATGTTTTATTATCACCCAGGTTCTAATTACACTTAAACCTCCTGATAAAATAGGAAATTAAGGAAAAGATAATGTATGTAGGAACCCTCCAAATGATATGGCATCATTATAATTCTTGGTAAAAACCTATATTGTAATATGTTGTATGTCTGTTTTTCTAATATTGTACTCTTTCTATGTTCATTTTCTGAAGTGAATTCATAAACTCGGCCCAACATGAACACTAATGGCGTGTTCTTTCAGCAGATTTTACAGGTAAAGCATACAATTTGTACTTCTAGCTACAGATCCTCTTGGCTTTGTGTCCATTATGTGGTATAAAAAAAGTTTATCAGCTGATGGACTGTTTTTGTTTTTTTTTTAGTTGTTTTTTTTTTTTTTTTTTAGTTTTTTTTTTTTTTTTTTTGTTTCAACACAGACCCAGTGTACATAAAACAGGCCTTGTGTTGTGATTCACGTTTGTAAATGTCGCATTATTTCTCCCCACATCCTATCACCACTAAAACATTTTAGCAGAGACACGTTCCAACGGAGATCCATTAAAACAAAAATCAGCTCATGGGGGATTAAAATGGGCTGCTTTTCGCCAACTCCTCTGTGTTTCATGTGATTAAGTAAGATGTTTTATTTTTGTTTTCTTGGTCATATAATGGGAATGCAGAGGTACTAACATGGATATGTAGTAGTTGCGATTATTAAGGCTTGTCGCTGTAAATGAAATTAAGTTATTTTTGTTTCATTTTTCTGGAAACTAAAGTCATGATCACAAATGCAACCTACATGTTAGTAAATAAATGACTCATAACCATCTTTGGAAGTTTGGCAACTGTCACTATAAATCTTACCAGCGTTTTGATCAACTATTCCATTATGGAAAGTATATCTTTATTCTTCCATACTCTGTACTTTAGGACAGCAATCCTAAATCAGATTGATGATGTCATTGATGGTTAAAATCAAATGTTATTACATGTTTATGTATGGAAAGAGGACAATTTACCCATTTTAGTTCCCTCCTTACATGACAGAAAATCTAACCTGCAGTGGACAGAAGAACTGAATGATTCCACCATGTCAATATCTTCTAAAAACAAAGCTTTGTTTAGAAAAGGTAAGTAATCCCTTCTGTGGTTTAATAGAGAAATGATCTGCTGCTAATGCAATGCACCTCACTGATGATCATCACCTGATGTACTTTTTAAGAGCTGAATAGCTGACAGGTTTTGGTATGAAGTGTGCATCTGTTAGCACAGTTTGTTTCCTGCTGCTTGTCAATCTGTAAGTTGTTCTACAATTGAAGTATTTACAATCAAGGCCATTTACAGCTTGCAGTCTTATAAGTACCGTAGACACTTTTGCATTTGACCTCACGATGTGACTAAAGACCTACATGTCAGACTTTCCAGACAGCTATTAGTAGGTCAAGATTTAAAGTCCAGAATGTGTAATTTGTGGAGGGCTGAACAAGCATGGGTTGTACCAACAGAAAGTGTATTTTACAGCTGTTAAGTTGGATCTGCATTTACACCTTTACACAAAAAAGCGTCAAATAACTTGGTTTGAGTTCAGTTTATAACCCATTTCTGCTTGTATAGGCCATGTTTCTAATGTAGTTATGCTGTAAATGGCTGACAATATAAACATGATTTATTCTGTATTTTTATGATCTATTAGATTTCTCTAGTAAACACACACTAGAAACCATGTTTTTAAACTTTCTTGCACCTTACACCATGTTTTTATATGCAGTGAATGTGTGTGCATGTTGCTTGCAAATGCACCCTGAATGCAAAATGCGAGGTTCTAAGCGTGTGCCTCTACAATCAGGGAATGCACAAGTTTAACTTCCATGCGAGGTGTTAGCTTAACATAAATACCAGGCTAGAGTTTATCAGAAGAGAACAGGAATATTGTTCCATGAAGGCATAAGTTGCAGAGGACATGTTTACTATATACCACATACAGCATTCCAGGCAAAGCATAGAGGTTTGTAAAGTATCTGACAGGGGTAAAGAAAAATGTAAAAAAAAAAAAAACCACCTAAAATTACTTTGGTAAAAGTCACTAATAAAAGTACTTGGGTAAAATTCAGAAAAGTATCCACAGTAATTGGGGGGAAAAAAAGAGTATATACTGAACACTTTTTTGTTTGACTCTTTCATTTGGTTGAAAAAATAATGATAATGGAGGAATAATGAGTTTAAAACCAGCTTTAGCTCTAAGAAAACATGGTATTCAACATAGGAACTCAGAATAACATAAAAGCCATCAGGTAGAATGACATATATCCACAACTGTGCTGTCTGCCTGAGAAAAAATAAATAAAAGTGCCTTTTCTAAGAATATATTTCCCATTCTATGGATAAAATACTGAAGTTCTGTGTCACTTGCAAGCAAACCAAGAAAATTCACTACACTTTACCACCAATAAAATGGTTTAGCTGTAACTCAGGTTTATTAGCTTGTAGGACAATATTTACAATTAAATACTGCTATATATATATATATATATATATATATATATATATATGATTCATCACTTCTCTTGGGGGAAAAAAAAGTCTTTAAACACTTGGGAAACAGTGTTGTGTATTATTTTGGAAAAGAAACAATGTGTTAAGAAGCTTTGCTGCAGCAGGACTGAGCGAAGTTGCCAGCAGATGATTTGGAAAAAGACAAACCCAAACCAGAGGAAGAGAATGAAATGGCATAGAAACCTACTGTCTTACACTGGGGGAATTTCAGTAAAAAAGCAGCAAATATACAGTTTTTTTTTTTTTTTTTTTTAGAAGATTCACAAAAATAGAATATAAAAGTAAAAAAAAAACAGACAGACATTAGGGGAAAAATTTTTTAAATACTGTGCAGTTTAATAATATACCAGATGTGCAACTGGTGAAGGTTAATTTTATAATTTTACAATAAGTATCAAAGCAGTAACGGCATAAGCATGAAAATTACACCACATTGTGTGAAGCTTTATAGCTGCTGGGAAGGATCTGCACTAACGCACCTTTATGAATTAAGGTTGTATTTAAAGGGCTGATATCAGCAAAATCAGCCCCTTGGACTTTAATTGTATTATGATGCTCATCTTTCATCAAAATGGTGCCCGAAATGGGATTTTGCTAGATGAATTCATGTCTTTGTAATTCTCAGATATTCTGCTGCCTGAGCATTGATTGATTGACTTTATTGATCTTACAGTGGAGAAATGTACATGTTACATCGGCTCACTAGTCCAAACGAAGAAGAAGAAGGTGCCAAAATGAGGAAAATGTGCATGGGAGTAACTTGATAAGCATCTATATATATATATATATATATATATATATATATATATATATATATATATATATATATATATATGTCTCTTATTTAACAAGATTATTATACAGGGTTATTGCACAGGGTATTAAATCTGTATTTATATAAATGGGTATTTAAATACCCATAAGCCCCTCTTTTTTTTTCTAGAAAAAAAACAAGTGACCATCCGCTTTCTGCATCCACCTTCGCCTTTCCGCGTTTTCAAAGCCGTAGCTTCCCAGTAGAATGATGTGAGGCAGAGCATGATCGTTTCTGCTCAGAATCGATAATCCATTCTTATCAATAAGGATTTTCCCCAATTAGCACTTTGAATTTAAATCTGCATGTTACTTTTTTTGTCTGTCTGATTACATGACCTTAAATCAGATCTTATGATCAGTTCCCCAGAGCTGGGGGAACCTTTTTAGCAAATGCCTTTTTTAACTCTTACTAGAGTAGTTATTTGCATTACTTCATTTTTACTAATACTTCAGTAAAATAGATTACAGTAGTGCTACTCTTATTTAAGTAGAACTCTTAGGTATTCAAGTATATCTGAGTCACTCACTTGCTGCACTGCAAAAACGTTGCTCTCTGGATAGATGGCAACTTAAGGGTGCTTCAGTCAGAGAGCACACTTTAAACTCTACTGAAAGACTCCTGGGGCTGCATAGGTGCATGGAGCCATCTCTGAGCTGATTTCAACATTAAATGGCATGCAAAATGATCTCTTCAATATCATTTGCTTGCTTGTAGTAGAACTAAGAGCGTTTACCTGACTGCTGCTTTTTTTAACATTAAAGCATTTTTCAAAATTATTCTCCAGATACAGAATATTTATATTGTAAAACACTGAACAGTACAGTACTTTATTTGTTTATCTTATCTGATATGTTACACACTGTATGACCACTTCTGCTATAACCTTTGTTGTTGTAACACCACAATTTTACCATTGTGGGACAATAAAGGGATTTTTTATTCTAAAAAATAAAAAATGGGCCTAAAAACAGTGATCACATCAAACTACAGCCTGATTTTTTTTTTTACCCCTGAGTTCTTTCACACATGGTGTCCTTGTGCATGATAAGAATTCACTCAAACTATGAAAATTTAAAGGAGACTATTGAGAGAAGTATGGAAGTGAAAATGAAGGTCAGTGAAAGAACAAGACCTCTTTGTCTTGTAGACAAATTGCAGAGATGTTAGCTCTCTTTCTCTCTCCCTTCCACAGACACACACAATGACTGCTTTCCGACCATATGCCAGGCCTGCTCTGCCCTAGTTGGAAAAGGGTGACCATTAACATTCTGAAGTGTCCCTGGTCTCTTTGCTGAGAAGCTTGGGACGTGCCAGCCTGGCAATTACTTTAACATCTCAAGAGTTTGATTTCTTTACTCAGCCGAGCCCAGCCGGGGAAACAACTGAGCAGAAAGAAGTTTGAGAGGACATGAAAGGACAAAAGTTTAAGTAGACCCATCTGTGGTGTATTCAATCAAAGAAGCGGCAAACTATTTTGTTTTAGTTTTTTGCTGCTTTTGAAATTTTTAGCGATTAAGCCAAAAGGATTCAGTGAGCACGATATGTTGCTACTCTCTAGGAAACCACACATACCTGAAAGTTCAAGGTGGGTGGCCAGAAGTGTCAGTGTGCGTCAAGGCGTCCTTCAGGATGACATTTAAATCTCTAACCTAATGGTTGACTATCTCACAGCTGAATGGTTCCTGTGGAAATGGAAATCACTGAATGCAGTTGAATCTAATTGCAGATGAAAGTGGCAATTATGTTGACAAGCTGGTTGATATGACAGGCTCCATTATAGCCTTAAGCTTTTATTACATTTCTGCCTCGTAAATCACATCACTGAGGCTGTATCAGACCATAATGACTCAGTCGAGCTCACTTTGTCAGCAGTGTCTTTCGTTAAAAAGGGGATAAGAATGAATTATTAGTGGTTGCTCTTCTGTATGAACTCCTCTAAATATCAAAGACTTAGCAGTGACATGACTGAGGGTGCTTTGAATCTACGACGATCC